AAAAAAATACATCTTCCCGCCTTCTGCAGGAAGCAGAAGCCTCCCTTTTAAAAGACCCCAGCTCACGACCCAGGCAGACATTTTCCCTGACTGGAAGGGAATCTGTCCCATGTGTTCCTTTGCTAATAAACTCTATCCGATGGAGTTTTATCTGTGTCCTGGTGCTTTCTCCCAATCAACTGGATTCATCCATAGTCTACTTTATCTATCACCTCCCAAGTATTGGGATTACAGATGTGTGCCACCACGCCCAGCCTTTTTTAAAAATATTAACTTACCTGAAATTTATTATTTAATAGTGTTAAACACAAGAAGCTTTTTACAGTTTCTTTAAAATAATGTCTATCCACTTCAAACCTATTTTCTTTTAAAGTCTAACAGCACCATACTTTCTCTTTAGTTATCTATTTCATCACACATTTATTAGAGAATAACAATGAAGACATTAATTCAGTCTTGCAAACACATACACTGTATTTAAAGAACTCTTTCTGGTATAACATTCATCAATTGATTCTTACTTTGCTTCAATTTGTGGAAATCACTGACTCTGTCCTTGGTGGCCTGCTTTAGCATATCTGTCTGAATTCTGGGTTCCCTCTCCATGTTTGAGCCTGGAATTAAATGTTGAAGAGGATTTGAAGGGTTCTGTTTTGAAGTACCAGGATTTCCATTCTGGTTTAGATGTGAACCTACAGTATAAAAACATCAAATTAAATTAATGTAATTTGTTTACAGAACAATTTGATGTAACCTGCTTTACAAAAGCAAACCCACACTTCCATCTATTAGTGTAGTCATACAGTTGGTTTGGGGATTTTTTTGTTTTGTTTTCTTTGTTTTGGGGTTTTTTTTTTTGGTTGTTTTGAGACAGGGTTTCCCTGTAGCACCAGCTGCCCTGGAACTCACTACATAGACCAGGCTGGCCTTGAACTCACAGAGATCCACCTGCCTCTGCCTCTGAGTGCTGGGAATAAAGGCGTGTGTGACCATGCCCAGCTAGTTGGTTTGTTTAAGCTTTACATTTTTTTTCTTTTTTTAAAAAATTTTATTTATTATTTTTATTTTATGTGTATGTGTGTATTGTCTTCATGTAGGTAAGTGCACCCGTGTCGTGCAATGCCCGCAGAGGTCAGAAGAGGCTGTCGGATCCCCTGGACTGGAGTTACAGACAGTTGTTAGCTGCCATGTGGGTGCTGGGATTCAAACCTGGGTCTTCTGCAAGAACAACCAGTGTTCTTAACCAGTGAGCCATCTCTCCAGCCCCTACTCTAACTACTTTTATCAAATCTCACAGCCAACATCACTTTATCTACGGGAAGTTTCCTAACCATTCCCCAGTAAGAGTCTCTACCACTAACTATAAGTCTATTTAGCATTATTCATCTTTGGGTTTCTTTCATCTTTGGGTTTCTACACAGTAGAAATGATATTTATTTCTTCTCCTCTCTCCAAAGTTCATACTGCTGTCAGAAATCTCTAAAGCTCTTTTGACATTTTTAATATTTATGTCATCTTCATCTTTACAATGAATCACAGCTGATTCTTTCTCAGCAGTGTGTCTTTTATTTAACCTCTCACTGCTTTCTTATACACACACCCTTATCTCACCAGTCTTTTTGATTTAGATCATCGTCATCGTCATCATCATCGTCGTCATCATCATCATCATCATCACAGTGTTAGGCATAGAATCCATGGTGTCCCAGAAACTAGGCAATTGTTCTACTACTGAACTGCAAACCCAGCCCAGTAGACTCTTAACAACTATTAGTTTTAAAATCAGAAAGCTCTTGCACAACTAATTCTCCCTCTCTCCTTCTCTATCTCTCCCTCCCTGCCTCCCCCAACCCCCTGTGGGTGTCTCTCTGTGTAAAAGGTACGTGGGAATGCTGCATATTTGTGAAAGTGTGTGTCAACCTTGAGTGTTATTCCTCAGAATCTGTCTACCTTGCTTTTTGAGATACAGTCTCTCACTGGGATCTGGGGCTTGTTGATTAGACTAGGCTGGCTAGCATACTCCAGGGATCTACCTGTCTCCACCTCTCCAGTGTTAGATGGGATTATAAATGCAAGTCATCATGCCCAGCATTTTACATTGGTACTGGGAATCAAACTCAGATCTGAATGCTAATGGGCAAGTACTTTACTGACTGAAGCTATTTCCCTAGCCCCAGTTGCTGTACCTTATGTTCCTATCATCTCCTTGAAGCAGTTCCTTTCAATCATATCAATTATCAATTCTCAGTTTAGGAGACTACTATTGTAAAATCAAACTGATGTTCAGTAGAAAATAAACACATTACTAGATAGCGAATAACAGGTTCAGTAGATATAGTAATTCATAGGAAGTTTCTGTTAAATAACTATCAATACATTTCCAGGGGGGTTTTGTTTTTTTTCCTTTTTAAATTTTTATTTTTATGTGTATGAGTGTTTTGTCTGTATACAAGTGCACCATGCATGCATGCAATGTCCAGAGAGGCCAGCAGACAGAGTCACATTCCCTGGAACTAGAGTTGCAGATGGTTCTTAACATAACTAACATGTGAATGCTGGAAACTAAACTCAGGTCCTCCACAAGAGCAGCCAGTGCACTTAACCACTTGAGTCATTTCTCTAGCTCTATCAACATCTCTGTGTGTGTGTGTGTGTGTGTGTGTGTGTGAGAGAGAGAGAGAGAGAGAGAGAGAGAGAGAGAGAGAGGGTCTCCCTGTAGCCCCAGTGGCCTGAATCTTGCTATGTAGACCAGGCTAGCCTTGAACTCAAGAGATCTGCCTGCCTCTGCCTCCCAAATGCTGGGACTAGAGTGTGTGCCACCACACTAGGCTGAAAAATGACTTTTTTTTAAGTTTTAAAAAAGGAGACTTTAAAAATTGCCTCTCTTTGGAGTAATAATAATAATAATAATAATAATAATAATAATAATGGAGACTTCATACCTGCAGCCATGTTTGGTGAGAGAGGGTGTCCAGTTGGAAGATGGGAGACTGCTTGATGACTTTCATATGGAGAAGCTAAAACAGGGGGCTTCTTTAAAGCTGTAAGAAAAAACAGATGCACTTCATTCTCACTGATATGATTTCTAAAACCCAGTACCATGAATCAGTTTACACTGCAGTAAGTCTATGTCACTTTATTTTTGTAGTCCTTATCCTTGGCATCTTAAACAACACAAATATGATTACTACTTGATATAGTCTACTGTATATCATAGATTTTGGTAATCAATAAATCTGACCAGAATATAAGCTCCATGAGGTACAAACTCTCTTGCTGACTACCATATTCTAATAATGCCTGGCACATAACAGGCATTTAGCAAAGATTTTATGAATAAATCTCTTCAGATACAATGGCTTACAACAGTGAAATCTTTTTATATAAAAATTAGTACTTGGACATTAGGTAGAATATTTTACTTGAAATTTTTAATTACATTTTATTTTGTGTGTGCATGTGTGTGAACCACAGTGCCACCATGTGAGTCATGGGAGTTAAACTCTGGTCATCAGGTTTGGGCACAGGTGCCTTTATACACCAAGTCATCTTGCTGGCCCCAATTTTTTTTTTCACCAAACTGCATAAAAGAACATTTACTTTTGAAGTGATTATTTTCTATAGTCCCTTGTCTCGACACATGCAGTAAATGAAGATGAACAAAATTGCAGGCATGGTTGTGTCTGTAAGATTCTCCACCACGTGAAAGCCGGATCCAGGCACTCTGAGGCAGTCTGCTGCCCCTCAATTTTTTAAATTGAGTTTTATTTATCTGAGGCAGGGTATCACAATACATGTAACTCAGCCTGGCCTGGAATTCACAATTGTAGCCTAGACTGGCTTCAAAGCTGGCTGCAAACTCACAGAGATCTCCTGGGATTAAAGGTGTGCACCACTACGTCTGGCCCCCAAATTGTATATTTTTTAAAAAAAGACGTGGCAATTGACCAGAGAGATGATTCAACATGATGCTACCAACCCTGGCAACCTGAGTTGGATCTCTGGCCCACATGGTGGAAGGAGACAACCAGGTTCCCCAAGTCATCCTCTGATCTTTACACAGGCCCCATGGCATGTACCAAACTGATAAATGTAATAAAAAGTTGCCAGAACTGACACAGGTGCACTTACATACATACAGGCAAGACACTCATACACAAAATAAAAATAAAGAAATTTCTAAAAATTAAGTCCTCGCCAATTAATTGGCATTTAATGAGAACTATCAGTCACACAGGTATCTGTAGTTTTTCTAAATCTTACAAACCAGAAAACAATAGTAACATAAAACAAAACGAAACAATGGGAACAGGGCATGGTGGTGCATAGCTGTAGTTCCAGAACTCAGGATGCTGAGGGAGGAAGTTTTTTTTAGTTCAAGGTGAGCCTGCACAACACTGAAAATTCAAGGCCAGCCTCGTCTACATAGTGAGACTCTGTCTCAAAATAACAACAAAAAGAACAGGACCACATGAAATCAATATAACACTTGAGTTCAATTCTCGGTTAATTTTCACTTACCAGCAGGAATGTCATCTACTTTTGCTGCATCATTCTCTTCTATACCAGGCATCCCTGCATCACCAACTCGTTTGATTTGTTCTGCCCAAGTTACAAAATAAGATATAATTTTGTTTTTTTTCTCATATAAATTGAAATGTTTTAAAGGAAAGTAACAGTTTCTAAAGCTATAGGCTATACTGACTAAATACATTGTTTGGGATAGATGTGCTTTTGTTGTTATGTGTTTTTGTAGTTGTTTTTAATTTTATGTGTATGAGTGTTTTGCCTGCCATGTGTGTGCCACAGAGGTCAGAAGATAGCATCAGATCACTGGGAACTAGAATTAAAGATGATTATTCGCTTCCATGTAGGTGCTGGGAACAAGCCAGGGTCTCTGCAAGAAAGCCAGTGATCTTAACTACTGAGCTACCTCTCCAGCCCCTCCTTTTCCATTTTTTTTTTTAATCCTATTTATTTAGAGGGTGTGAGTTGCGGGAGGGGCGGACACAAGAGCTTGCCATGTCACATGTGTGTAAACTTGAAAGCCAGAGGGCAACTTTCAGAAGTCAGTTCTCTCCTTCACCTTGTTGAGGCATGTGTTGTGTACTCCAGGCTAGCTGGCCTGAGAGCTTCTAGGCAATTCTCCTATTTCCATCTCCCATTTCATCAAAAGAGTTCTGGGATTATAGATGTATTCATCAAATTTCTATTTTTTTTTTTTTCCTGTGGGATCCGGGGCTCTGGTTGTCAGACTTGTACAGCCAGCAACTTTACCTACTGAGCCATCTTCCTGACAACTGGACAGTTTCAATGAAGAGATCTTACTTTTTTCTTTTCTATCAAAGGATCCAAATTTTAAACAACACAGACTCCTAATCATCTCTGAACTAATCTCAAACTGTTTTCTTTATGACTGAGGATATTTCAGTATAGGAAGAGAGGGTCAATAGGCTAACAATACAAAACAAAAAAAGCTCACCTTTCCCATGTGGCGTGTGATTGCTTGAGGGCTCCTCATTCTTCTCTGCGCCATTCTCAGCTGCATTGGGGATGTCTTCAGGTACAACATGATCATCTACACCCAAGTCTTTTCCATCTGATCGAATCTTCTGGGTCTCCTGCTGTTGGATAAAGATTTGGTTAACAAGCAATACTTATCAGTTTGAATTGTTAAGTCATTGATGAAGCAGTTTTGGGAACTGCTGATGGTTTTCTTAATATTTTTTGTGTGTGTCAGGGGATGCAATGCCACAGCACATGTGAAGGTCATGAGGATCCCAGGGATCAAACTCAGGTCATCAGGCTTGGCAGTAAGTACCCTTATATACTGCACCATCTAACAGCCACAAAAATACTTTTTTTAAAACTGAAACTAATTGGGCTACAGAGATGGCTCAGAAGTTAAGAACACTGACTGTTCTTGCAGAAGACCTGGGTTTGAATCCCAGCACCCCATGGCAGATAACAACTATCCATAACTCCAGTTCCAGGGGATCCAACAGCCTTTTCTGTCCTCCGCGGGCACTGCACTACATGGGTGCACTTACCTACATGCAAGCATTAACACTTATACACATAAAATAAAAACAATAATTTTTTTAAAAACTGAAACTAAAAAATATATTGTTCTTTTAATGTTGTCACCTTTACATGAATGGATACTTGTAAATACTTTTCTTTACTTTCCTTTTGTTTTTGTGACACAGGGTCTCAGCACATAGCCTAGGCTGTCCAAAAACTTGCTAGGTAAACCAGGCTGGCCTCAAACTTAGTGATCTTCTGCCTCTGCCCCAACAAATGCTAGGATTACAGGAATAAGTCACCATGCCCAGCCTTAAATATGACTAAGTTTTCTTAAAGTAATATTTATGATTTAGTGAGGGGACTCCTAATTGGTTTTAAGAAACTTTTTATTATGAAATAACTTAAGATTTATAGAAGAGTAACTACTGCCTACCCAGTTCCCCCTAATGTTAAAAGTTGACGTTACCATGGTACATTTGTAAAATCAAGACAATAGTATTACTGGACAGGGGATGTGGCTTAGAGGGTAGATCATTTGTCTAGCACCCAGGAAGCCTTGGGTTGATACCCAGAACTGCACAAGCTAGATATGGTGGCATATGCCTATAATGCTAGCACTCAGGAGGTGGAGGCAGGAAAATCAGAAGCTCAAGGCCATCTTTGGCTACATAGGGGGTTGAAGGCCAGCTTAAGCTATACAAGCCCTGTCTTAAAAAAGAAAAGAAAAAGAAAAAATTATTAATTCAATTTAGACTTTATGTAGACATCAATCAATTTTTCCACCATGTCTTTTTTCTATAGGACACTATATTTTAGTCTTCAAGTCTCCTCTGGTCTATAGTTTCTTTGTCCTTGTACTACAAAAGCAATAAAAAATTTTAGTTATGGAAACTAAACTGTGAGTTTCTTATACTATCTCCACTATCTCCAGCTATTTTGTCATAGCAGCACAAGAAGGAACCAATTTAAATGCTTATAAACACCTGGTAGCACAGCAAAGCCCTTTTACCTTCCTTCCGCATTCTTTATTCTTCTAACCTGCCAGTATCTCAACTCTACCTTCTAACTATACTCAGTGTCCATACAGTGACTGCACACTCAAGCCCGCCTTCCTACACCAGCTCATTCCTATACTCTTCAAAATGGACTGCAAATAAGCAGTACCCATTTCAGTTTGTAAACTGAAAAACTGAAACAGAAGCAACACCCTCAATATCCTGCCGAAAAACTAAGGAAAAAAAAAAAAAAAACAACTGATGTCCTTGACTTCTAGTCATTACATATTACTACAGAACAAAACAAATACTTCTCACTTTTGAAACACTTTTTACTTTTAATTGCAAGATTTTATACAAACTATAAATGACTCATGTCCATAATGATTAGCAGTTTTCACAAAAATTCCTTCTATTTTTTTTTTGTCTTTTTGAGACAGGGTCTCCCTGTAGCCCCAGCTGTCCTGGAACTCGCTGTGTAGACCAGGCTGGCCTTGAACTCACAGAGATCCACCTGCCTCTGCCTCCCAAGTGCTGGGATTAAAGGTGTGCCCCACCACGCCTGGCCCCTCTATTTCTTTTAAAAAATATTTTATTGATTTTTATTTTTTTTTAATTATTTATTTTTTTTAATGTGTATGCATGTATTACCTGCATATAGGTAAGTGCACCCGTGTCGTACAATGCCTGAGGAGAACAGAAGAGGCTGTTGGATCCCCTGGAACTGGAGTTACAGACAGTTGTTAGCTGCCATGTGGGTACTGGGATTCAAATCCGGGTCTTCTGCAAGAATAGTCAGTGTTCTTAACCGCTGAGCCATCTCTTCAGCCCCTTATTGATTTTTATTTTTATCTATGTGTATGAGTATATTTTCTGCATGTATATAAGTGCACCTGTGCCATATAGTGCCCAAGGAGGTCCAAAGAGGATAGCAGAGCTCCTGGAACTGGAGTTATGGACGGTTGTTAGTTGCCTTGTGGGTACTGGGAACAAGACCCAGGTCCTCTGCAAGAGCAGCCAATGGTCTTAACTGCTAAGCCATCTCTCCAGCTCCTATTTCTTTCTTTTCATAAAAACATTTTTTTCAGTATTCTTTAAACTTTCTTCTAACAAGAATGTCTTCATTTACATAACAAATATTAATAAATTAATAGAAACAAGAGATCAAACCTGTTAGGAAATTGGAATTCTATAGGCCTTAAAGGCTTAACCAAATACTTTTTAAAAAATTTTAATGATTAGATATAAAAACATTTTTAATACGTATTAAGTGTTTTGTCTGAATGTATGTAAATGTACCACATGCATGCAATGCCTATAGAAGCCAGAAGAGGGCGTAGAATCCACTGGAAGTGAAAATACAGTTGTCAGCCTCCATGTGGGTGCTGGGCACTGAACCTGGGTCCTCTGCAACAGCAACAGTACTCTTAGCCACAGAGCCATCTCTCCAGCCCCACTTCCCTCTATTTCTAAAACTACCTTTTTGGTAAGTCAACTCAAAATTAATAAAAGAATTTGCCAATTCAAAAATGTATCAGTCAGAATTGAACATGTATATCATTAGAACATATGCTTAGCATGTAGAATGCAATGGATTTGACCCACAGCACTTTAAGTATGAATTTCTAGGAATGGTGGCCCATAAATTTTATCCCAGCACTCAGGAAGCAGAGGCAGGTGGATCTCTGTGAGATTAAGGCTAGGCTGGTCTGTATACCAAGTTTCAGGTCAGCTGGAGCTACAGGGAGACCATGTCTTTGAAAAAAAAAAGTACGAATCAAAATTATTTATAATGTGGGCTGGAGAGATGTCTCAGCAGCTAAGAGCACTACCTGCTCTTGTAGGGTTCAGTTCCCAGTACCTATATCTGGTGGCTATCAACCACCTGTAACTCCTGGGGAATCCAACGCCTTCTTCTGGCTTATGCAGGTGGCATGTGGTGCACATACTTACATACACACACATCACAAGTACATAGGACAAAAATAAATAAATCTTTTTAAAAACTTATCTGTAGTGGCTAGTTATGTTACTTCTGTTTTGAGAAAGGGTGTCAGAATACCACAGACAAACAGGAAAAAGCTTGTCAATTTTGTTGTGTTTCTCCAGTGCCTAAAATAAAGAACTGAGCTGATGTGGTACTGTACACCAGTAACACTAATATTTGAAAGACTGAGAAAAGGGGATCATGAGTGCAAGCCCCATTTGAGCTACATAGTCAGACACTATCAGAAGAGAAGAAAGGGAAGAAGGGAGGGGGAGAAGAAAGAAAGGCTTTTCAGTACAAAGCTATCTATCCACCTTAAAATCTAAGGCATATGAACAATAAAATTATTATTGTTCTTGTCATTATAGTTGGAGTCTTGCTATATGCCATAAACTGCCCTCAAATTCTTGAGCTCAAGCGATCCTTTTGCCTCAGTCTCTCCTATAGCTGAGTGTGCAGGTGCTTACCACTGTGCCAGGCAAAAGCTACTTGCCTAGCATGTACAAAGCCCTCGGTTTAACCTTCAGCCACAAAAAAAGAGTTAGGATTATATTTTTTACACATCCAGTTCACTCGGCAACAAAACCATAGTACGTCATTTTTTGAATTTGGCAGGCTAAGGACACTTAATGTTTTAGAAAAAAGTACAATTTCAATTTCTAAATTATACAAAATATAACCAAAATATATTTTAAGTATATTTTTAATTTACCTTTTGTTTCTGCAAAAATTGGTCTGCTAATTTTTTAATATTTTCTTCATGTTGTGCTCTTAATTCCTTGATCTGCTGTCCACACTGAAAACTACATTAGAAAGTCACTGTTAGATTATGTCAGTTGAATTCTCAAGGTTATCCAGAAGTTGGCACATACATTTAGAAAGATAAAGCATTCAGTCTGTAGAGGAAAGCAGCAGAAAGCAACAAAACCCAGATAACTCATGGTCAGAATTTAAAAACAGTTGAACCTTTAATAGGAGAAAAGAAATACTACCACAGTTAACTGAAAAACTAGAACCTAGACAGATGAAAGCCATGCTTGTCGAGGATTTTATAAATTACAACTATAAAGAAATAATGTCAAGGCTAACTTGAATCACAGAAGAAAAAAAATACTATGTAAGAGAAAACTTTATTATAATTGATAAGAAAAGCTAAAATTAGGAAATGGTAAGGAATGGCCATTATTGATTTGCTAATAGGATTTTAAACATGATAATAAAAGTCTACAGGAAAGAATAAAAGGAAAAGTAGAAATTAATGAAGATAGAGTATACAAGTAGGAAAAAAAATGAAAAAAACAACAGCAACAACAACAAAACATCAAAGCAGCCAGGTATGGTGGCACTCAGGCAGGTCTCTGTGAGTTCAAGCCCAGTTTGGTCTACATAGGGAGTTCCAGGCCATTTGGGGCTACCAAGAGACTGTGTCTCAAAACAACAGCAGCAACAACAACAAAACATCGAAATAGATAAAAGTAGTGGGCAAGGAGTCAAAGGATACAAACAGAGTACTGCATACAGAAACATGCTAATATTCACCATTATAAACTCAAAATTAAATTTCCTATCTAGATATCATGGTAGTGCCTTATTCCTAAATTACCAAAATTAAACTGGAATCATAAACAATGTCCATAGGGCTATGAGGAAACACCCACGTTATAAGTTAGCACTATTATTTAGAAAGTAATCTTTTATTTATGTTATACAAGAAGCCAAATTGATAAAGCATTTTTCTTAGTAAATCTACATTTGTGAATACATACTAATAAAGATGGGAATTTTCTTTCTTTTCTTTTTGTTTTTTTTGAGACAGGGTCTCCCTGTAGCCCCAGCTGTCCTGGAACTCACTATGTAGACCAGGCTGGCCTTGAACTCACAGGGATCCGCCTGCCTCTGCCTCCTGAGTGCTGGGATTAAAGGCATGCACCACTATGTCTGGCAGGAAAATATTTTTTACATAAAAATTATGATGATGATGCTGTGTTCTGTTCACCTGATACATATGTATAAAATGTGTGTGTGTACACCAAAGTGCAGACACATGTGCCACAGTGTACCCCGGCATACGTGTGGAGGTCAGAGGACAACTTCCAAGGTGGGATCCAGGGACTGAACTCGATAATCAGGTTTGCACAGCAAACACTGTGGTTACCTACTAAGCCATCTTGCTGGGACAAAATGTGACAGTCTTAGTACTGAGAGAAAAAAAAATCATTGTGGTACCACAACTGGTAAAAACTAAGTTTTGGTAAATTAATATGCTAAAATACTTTATCTCACTATGTTGTCTTCAATCCTACAGATGTACGAGAAACTACTGACTACTGCTAAGCTAAAATACATTCATGCAGTGTGTTATTATATATGTATTAATAATCTATTAGTAGTAAGAAGTCAGAAATGGATAAACTTTTAAAATATGTTGAACCTAGCTTTTGGTGTACAGATATAAAAATACCTTTTATAATAAATCTGATTAAAGGTACAATAAAAGGGTTTTAAACTTTTTTTTTAAATGTGTATGAATGTTTTGCCTGTATGTACCCAAGTGTACTTTGTGCATGCAGTGCCCATGGAGACCAGAAGAGGGCATCTGATCCCTTGGAACTGGAGTTAAAGACTGTTAACTGCCCTGTGGGTGCTGGGAACTGGACCCAGGTTCTGTGTTAAACAATGATCCATCTCTCCAGCCCCCATGATGAACGTTATTAAAGAGTCGTTGCTAGAAACAGCACCTAAGAAGTTTCCCAATCTCTTCTCCATGTGCAGAAGTGTAGTCAAGGGAGTAAGAACACGGCAGTACAGGGGTGCAGCCAGCAGTACAGGGGAGCAGCCAGCACTTAATCCCGTGGCTATTTTGAGGACATGTCCTAGTGCTATCTTCATCTTCTGGCAGTCTCTCAAGAAGCTCCTTTCTAATTCAACAAAACTCAGTATAAGACCTTTTTGTTTTATAGTGAACCCTACAGCCTCAATATATCATGTAAAAGATATTTTCATGGTGTTTAATAGATCAAAATAAATGAACATGGATTTCCAAGAGTCTTTGAAAGACAATGCAAGAAAAAGAGAAAAAGAACATAAGACAGAAAGGAAGAAAATTAAGTTCAAAAGTGGGACAAATACTTCAGATTCACAAATGTCTGTTGCATCAGCATCTTACCTTTCATATTCTAACCTCTTCACAAGGTATGTATTGTTCTTTCTATAGTCTTGAAGCTGATCTTCTTGCCGAAGGAACTCCTGGCGAAGCTCAGCAAGTTGTTCTAGCCACATAAGGTAAGAACCAGAGGAATAATCAAGTTTACTCATGGTAATACTTCCTATTGAGAATCTAAGGAATGCACTGCTAATTACAGGCACATTTCAATTTCTTTTCTCATATTCTCAGGGGCTTAGATTGTATGTGCAGAGGCCAGAGGTGAACCATGGATATGGTTCCTCAGGAGCCATCCACCTTGGCTTTTTAACGATCTCTCACTGAGACCTGGAGCTCACCAAGCAGCTTAGGCTGAGTGGCCAGCAAACTCCAGGGACCTGTCCTCATCTTCCCAGCACTGGAATTAAATTTTTGTTTCTGTGTATGATATAGTCATGTGTGTACATGTGTACAGACATATATGTGCATGTGCGCTTCTCTGTGCACACATGTGTGGAGGCCAGAGATCGATGCCGGGTGTCTTTGCCCACCCAATTGCTCTCCACCATACTTTTTGAGAGAATGTATCTTAATGAACCCAGAGTTCACTGTTTAAACTACATTGGCTGGCCAGAGACCCCCTGGGATCCAACTGACTCTTTGTAAGTGCTGGGGCTACAGGTGCAGACCACCACCACATGCAACTTTTTACATATGAGAACTCAGGTCCTCAAGCTTAAGCAATGGGTATGTTACCATTTGAGCCATCTCCCTAGCCTGCTGATGCCTGATTCATTGGTCAGTCTGCAGCTCATGAAGGATCACTGGCGATAATTCTCATTCTTAAAATCAAACTTGTTCAGCTTGGCATGGTGGCGCACGCCTTTAATCCCAGCACTCAGGAGGCAGAGGCAGGTGGATCTCTGTGAGTTCAAGGCCAGCCTGGTCTACACAGTGAGTTCCAGGCCAGCTGGGGCTACAGGGAGACCCTGTCTCAAAAAGACCAAAAAAAACAAAAAAAATCAAACTTGTTCTGTCAGATCCAAAACCCTGAGTTTATCCAAATTATAGAGACATGCTTTCACCACCTGTCTACCAAAATATCTCTCATTCAGTTTAGCAGCAGCTTTAGTTGCTGACTCAACCCTCTCAAATTCTAAAGGTATTCATACTGCTTCATCATTAGGGCCCAGAAATTTTTAAATATCACACATTTTCAAACTTTGCTAAATTTTTCACATTCTTCCTTGGTTTCAACCCTCCAAGCCTTTATCTACTTCTCTTGTACCAACCATGTTCCTCAGTAGACTCAACAAAACAAGTATTTCAGTTAATGAATCTAAGTTTTTGGATGCATCCTGAGACTTGCCTTTTGCATTGCATTATCCACAATGAGCCTGCTGCTTCACTGGCTGATCTCTATGGACAGTGCAGTGCTCTGTATGTGCACCCTCAGCCTGGCCTTCCTAGAGAGCAGTACTTATATATGATCTTATGTGCCACTGTGCCACCCATGTTAGCAAGGAAAAAGCTGCAGGGCCAGGACAGAGATCTTGGTCTATCCAGTTCCTCACACACAGGAGTAGAAGCAGCACTGGAAGGCTATGATCCAGCTGTTGAACCCTCTTCATAAAGAAAACCTCTGAGTAACATCTTGACTTTCTCCATAAAAGTAGGTGGGGCAGTGGCAGTTCTTTCTATATTCCTTTTCTTCCTCTCTCATAATCTTCATCTTGATCAGAATCTGGGTCTGGGCACCTTAAAAACCCACCAGCTTGTCTATCTTACTGCCTCTTTTCTCTTTCTTCTTCTTTCTGTCTTTATATTACTACCTCTGTGACTCTTCTCTTTGGTGCTTCCCTAATTTCTCATAATCATTAGAAAACAGGATCATACTCAGCAGCTAAGGGCATCAGAACATCCCCTTGCAGAAAACCCACTAGGAAAAGGGCCTTTCAAGATCATCCTCTATGTGTGGTGATGTACCCACAATTTGCTGGTCATCTTGAGGAGCCAGAATCATCTTGCTTTAGGTTGATGACTGGGGCAAGGTCTGTAAAATTATACCTAATCGTGCGTGCGCGTGTGTGCGTGTGTGCGTGTGTGTGTGCGTGCGCACGCGCACGCACGGACACACATTCAAGCACACATAGCATGCTATGTCATGCATATGGAAGAAGTCAACTTTCAGGAGCTGATTCTCTTTCTTCTGCCATATGGGTCCCTGGAATTGAACTCAAGTCATCAGGCTTGATAACAAGTACCTTTAACAACTACGTCATCTCTCTAACCCTGTATTTTCTAGTATGAGCCCAGAGTTACTGTTTAGTAAGGCTGCTATAGGTCACTATAGCAAGACTCTTGGGGTGCCAGATATAGTGACACATGGCTATAATGCCAACACTCAGGAGGCTGAAGCAGGAGGATTGTTAAGTTTGATGCCAGCCTGGGCTACACAGGGACACCTTATCTTTAAAAAAAAAAATGTTTTTTAAACCAAGGTACAGGGAGAGGAATATGCTCAAAGTACATTTATATACTTTCATGAAAATGGCTTGTGTAATCTAGTATATTACAAATATTAAATGAAAAAACAGAAAAAATTAACCTAAGTTAATTTTTATTTATTATTTTTACTTTTTGTATATGAGTGTATTGCCTGTATGTATGTAAGTACACCTGTGTCATGCAATGCCCACAGAGGTCAGAAGAGAGCGTCAGATTCCCCTGGAACTGGAGTTGCAGACAATTGTTAGCCGTCATGTGGGTGCTGGGAATCCCGGGTCTTCTGCAAGAGCAGCCAGGTCTCTTAACTGGTGAGTCATCTCTCCAGGCCCAGGACATTCATGTTATCTCAGGCTGACTTAGAACTCATTATGTTTCGTAGGATGACAGTGAATTCCTCTAGCCTCTAGCACATTTGGTTTTATTTGGTGCTGGAGAAAGATCCCAGGGTTTTGTTTATGCTAGACAAGCACTCTACCAACTGAGCCACACTCCTAGTCTCAGGTGTTCTATTTCTAAAAATAATATCTAAGAATGTTCTAGAAAGGCATAGCAGGCTGGAGAGATAGCTCAGCAGTTAAGAGCACTGGCTGCTCTTTCAGAGGACCTGGGCCAATTCCCAACACCCACACAGTAATTAATAACCATCTGTAACTCCAGTTCCAGGGCATCTGATGCCTTCTTCTGACAACGCAAGCATTGTATGACATGAGTGTACTTACATACACGCAGGCAACACACTCATAATAAAATTATATTTTTTTAAAAAGGCATGGCTGTATTTTCTTCATTTAACTTTTTTTTTTTTTCTGTCTTTTTGAGACAGGGTCTCCCTGTAGCTCCAGCTGTCCTGGAATTCACTATGTAGATCAGGCTGACCTCAAACTCACAAAGATCCATCTGCCTCTGCCTCCCCAAGTGCTGGGATTAAGGGTGTGTGCCACCACGCCCGGCCCTCTTCATTTAACTTTTAAAAAGACGGGTAAAGAGTGTTAGGTAAGTTAACTAGAATTGGCTTTTAATATATTTTATTATTTTTACTTTATGTGTATGAGTGTGTTGTTTGCATGTGAGTGCACTCATGTCGTGCAATGCCCAAAGCAGTCAGAAGAGGGCTTCAGATTCCCCTGGAACTGGAGTTCAGGACAGTTCATAGCTGCCATGTGGGTGCTGGGAGTTGAACCTGGGTACTCTGCAAGAGCAGTCAGTGCTCTTGACTACTGAGCCATCTCTCCAGCCCTAGAATTGGCTTTTAAAGCAAGATTATTTACTTTTACAAAACTTTGACATTAAATATTCTTTCACCAATAGGCATAAGATGAACTATTCAAAATAGTGTATGCTAGTTATCGCAGATATTTTTTAAAAATCTGCATTCCTTGCTGTGCTATTTTTTGTCAACTTGACACAAACTAGTCACCTAAGAAAAGGTAACCTTAATTGAGGAATTTCCTCCATCAGATTGGCTTGAGGGCATGTCTGTGGGCCTTTTACTTATTGCTAAATGAAGTAGGATGGCCCAGCCCATAGTGGGCGGTACCATCCCTGGGCAGGTGGGCCTGGACTGTACAGACAAGTAGCTGAGCAACCAAGGAGAGGGAGTCAGTAAGCAGAATTCCTGCTCAGTCTCTGTTTCAGTTCCTGCCCTGACTCCTTAATGATGAACTGTCATGTTGAAGTGCAAGATGAAATAAACCCTTTCCTCCCCTAAATTGGTTTTGATCTGTGTTTTATCACAGCAACAAGAAATGAAACTAGAACACTTGCATTTTAAATAAAATATTCATCACCCAAAATTTAAAGAGTATTAGTGTTTAATTCCAATAGATCAAATATTAATTTAAAAATAAAAAATCAAGTTTGTTTCAGGAAATTTATTGGAAGTATGTTTTAGGGTCAAGCATGGTGGCACATACCTTCAAATCCCAGCACTTGAGAGATCGAGGCAGGTGAGTCTTTGTGAGATCAAGGCCAGCCTAGTCTACATAGCAAGTTCCAGGCCAGCTGGGGCTCTCAGGGAGACTCAAAAAACAAACAAAAAGTCTGTCTCAATAGAAATTCCTAGGTTATATAGTCCCACTAATGAAATGTTTTTCTTTTTTTCACATTAAATTTTTTGTTTTACGTCTATGTTTGTGTGTCTATATTGAGGTACACATGTGCCACATGTGTGGAGGTCAGAGGACAACTTGTAGTAATCAGCTCTCTTCTTCTACCATGTGAGTTCCCATTCAGGGAGTGGGGTTTGGTGGCTTACCAGCCTTTGTTTTTTATTCTTTTTTTTTTTTTTTTTGAGACAAGAGTCTTGCTATGTAGCCCTTGGGAGTCTGGTACTCTGTGTAGCCCAGGCTGGCCTTAAACTCATGGCAATCTTGCCTCAGCTTTCTGAAATCAGAGATTACAGGTATGTACCACCAGTTCATGAAATTTAATCTTAAAAGTTCAAGCTTTAGCAAGTGTACCAGATCCAAAAATGTATATAGCAATATAATCACCAACCTTTTTCTCTGCTAGAGTTTCAAAATATTTCAAGACCTAGTTTGATATATTCAGCACAATAAAGAGGTTTACTCAGGGCTAGAGAGATGGCTCAGTGGTTAAGAACATTGGTTGTTTTTGCAGAAGACCCGGGTTTGAATTCCAGCACCCACATGGTAGCTAACGACTATCCATAACTCCAGTTCCAAAGGATCCTACAGCCTCTTCTGTCCTCCACAGGTACTGCACAACACAGGTGCACTTACCTACATGCAGGCAATACATGCATACACATAAAATAAAAAATAAAAAAGAGGTTTACTCAGTAGTATAGGTTGTCAATTTCCTTAACATATGCTAACAGAAATCCCAGGGCATCTTATTCAACTCATCTATTACTATTAATAAGAAATACACTTTGATGACAAGCAGCATTATTTAAACATAAGCTATGAGCAGCACCAACAGTGTTACATCTTCTGTCATCCTAATGTACTCCCATGAATCAGATTTATCTCAGCAGCTGGGAGACTGAGGCAGAGGGCTTATGAATTAACACTCAGCCTGGGCTACAAAGCAAGTTCTAGGTTACTCTGGGCTGCATAATAAGACTCTATCTCACACATATAAAAAAGGAAAATAAGAGTAAATCATAGACATTAAGACATTAAACCATTTAAAAAAAAAAAAAAAAAAGGGCCCAGAAACATTTCTGAAAAGTTCAAACCTATTCTAAATCAGAAACTGGAAAAAAATTAACTTTTTGTTTTTGAGCAGACTCTCATGCAGCCAAAGCTGGCCTTGAACTTGCTGTGTAGCTAGGGACGACCTTGAATTCCTGAACTTCCAGCCTGTACCTCTGATGTACTGGGATTATAGACACGTATCAGTAAACCTAGCAACAATTTTTGTGTTAGGGTTACAACATACCAATAATTCTTCGTAATGGTTTTCCTAGGTGAGGATAAAAACTTTACTGTATTACAAAGCCAGTTCAGGTTGTCTACTTCAAAATGATAAAAGAACATTTAAGAAATCAAAGAACATGTATTAGGCACAAGTTTACCTTGGAACCAATACATGGAAGGTTTAACCAAAGGCTGTGTTTAACCAAAGGTTGTAAGGAAAGAATTGGCCTGCTCTTACTGCCATGACTAAATACTTGCCAGAAGTCACTAAAGGAAGCAAGGGTTTATTCTAGCTTGCAGTTTGAGAGGATACAGCACACCATGGCACTATGGCAGGGAGGGCATGGTGGCTGGTGTGTGTAGTAGCTGTTCACATTGTGCCCCCAGTCAGGAAGCAGAGAGAGAAGTGCTGCTGCTTAGCTTGCTTTCTCCTTTTTAATTCAGTCTGGAGCCTCAGCCTACAGAATGGCATCACCCACATTCAAGGTGAGTCTTCTCCATGAAGTTTCTCTAGAAACACCCTCATAGACATGCCCAGAGGTGTGTTTTTAAAGTTAGTGCTTTTTATTTATTTGTTATATGTGTGCCTATCTTTCAGGTTTCTTTGTTTCCAGAGTATTCGGTACATTAAGCTTGGAGGACCTGATCAAAAAGGAATCCTCAGACCTGAATGGGTGATGTTAGCAGATTAGACACAATACAGAAGGAACACTCCTCCCCTTTTCTCTAGAAATTTGATGGCTTTACAAGTCACAGTTCAATTTTCTTTGAGGATCTGTGTGTGTGCATGTACACATGTATGTGAAATCCAGGTTAACTATGGGTGCCTTCATCTACTGTTCTATATTTTTAAAATAAGATGTCTAACTGAACCTGGAGCTCTTGTCAAGATTAGCTGGTCAACAAATTCCAAGTATCTCGTCTCTCCACATCAGTACTAGGATTACAGGTGCACACCACCACCCCCGCCATTTTATCTGGGCACTGGGGATCTGAGCTCAGGTCCTCATGATTGTACAACAAGCACTTTACTAACAGCAATCTTCCCCACCTTCTCACCCTCTTGTGTGTGTGTGTGTGTGTGTGTGTGTGTGTGTGTGTGTGTGTGGGTGTGTGTGTGTGTGTGTGGGTGTGTGTGTGTGTGTGTGGGTGTGTGTGTGTGTGTGTGGGTGTGTGTGTGTGTGTGTGGGTGTGTGTGTGTGTGTGTGGGTGTGTGTGTGTGTGTGTGGGTGTGTGTGTGTGTGTGTGGGTGTGTGTGTGTGTGTGTGGGTGTGTGTGTGTGTGTGTGGGTGTGTGTGTGTGTGTGTGTGTGTGTGTGTGTGTGTGTGTGTGTGGTATGAGCATGTGCTTGCAGGCATTTGTGTGTTATGGCCCAAGTGTGAAGGACAGAGGACAAGATAACCTCAAGTGTGGGTCCTCTCCTTCCACCATGTTTGAGACAGAGTTCTTTGCAGTTTACTGCTGCAGACACCAGGCTGAATAGCCCACAACCTTTCAGGTATCCTCCTATCTCTGCCTCCCATCTTGCTTAGGAATGCTGGGACTTCAGGTGTATGTTACTACATCCAGATTTATGAGTGTTCTATGGAGTCAAACCCAGGTCCTCACACTTATAGGGCAAGCTGTTTACCCAATGAGCCAACTCTCCAGCCCTTTCTGGGGATTCTTTCAAGAACATTTCATTGTAGAAACTCAGACTATGCCCAAGATGAAGATACAGACCACAAATTCTAACTTGCATTTAGTATATACTGTGGTAGCTGGGTTTTGTCAACTTGATACAAAATAGAGACACCTGAGAAAAGGGACCCTCAATTGAGGAATTTCCTTCATTGGACTGCTTATGAGCATGTCTGTGGGGCATTTTCTTGACTGTTAGTTGATGCAGGAATGCCCACTAGGGGCAGGAAAGAAAGGTAGTTGAGCCAGTGGGGGGAACAAACCAGTAAGCAGTAACCTCCATGGTCTCTACTTCAGCTCCTGCCTCCAGGTTGCTGCCTTGGCATCTTTTGATAGACTGTAACCTGTAAGTCAAAATCTTTACTCCCCTAACTTGGTTTTGGTCAGTGTTTTATCACAAAAATAGAAAGCAAACTAAAACACATACAAAGCAATGTTGAATGATTTTTTTAAAAAAAGATTTCTCAATCACACAATTACAAAATGGACAATTCTGGGATCAAGGTGGTAAGATATCTGCTCTCTCCAATCAATCTCTCTACCTTAAATGATGGTGGCCACCTCCTACCTGTGGCTTCCAAGGGCACTCTGAGGGTTGAATATACTTTGGTCTCAGAGGACACAAGCAGAAGTCAAGGAGGACCATGTGGCCATTTTTGTTGTTGGTCTGAAAGTTATGCTCCTGAAATACTTTTTTGTTTGTTTGTTTTAATATTTCAAGACAAAGGGATAAATGCTCTGCTATCAAAGGAACTATGTTCAGAAAATTTTATTTCTTTTAGCCATCTTACTGTTTCTTAATTCTTGATGATTTTAAACATGTAGAAGCCTTTATCTTTGTAAGTTTCTTACCCTTTAAATGATGTATGTCTGCCATCTGATATGATATGTTGTTCTGCAGTTTAACCTGAAAAATAAATTGCTTTCATTTTAATAAGGAATATATCATGTTTTTTCATCTCCCTCTACAAAGTTGTGGCCCAGGCTAGCCCCAAATTCTGTATGAAGCTGAGGATGACCTTGAACTCCTCATCCTCAGGCTTCTACTTCCCTAGTACTGAGATTACATCTGTGTACCACCTTGCCCAGCAAGAGTATATAGTTTCATTAATATTTACTCACTCACTTTGAACTTGATCATAAATGTAAACAAATCTCTACTTGTACCCCACCTTTTTTCAAAAAGAATTAAGAGGTAAATTCTGAATTTTGTAATGCTTCAATCTGTATGAGAATGTTTACCAGACACACAGTGTAACAACTTTCAAAAAACTTTTTAAAATTTGAGTTGAACATCATTTAATGATTTTTTCCCAATCTTACAGAAGACCTCTCATTAATTTATCTTAAGCAAAGCTTAATTGTTTGAAACATTTACTATCAAATGAAATGAATGCTTCTCAGGCTCCTGTACAGTGACAGTGTCTGTATGTAGTGCACTGCCCAGGACTCAGAGCTGTGGCCACTGTCTTCTAGGAGTCGGTGTCCAAGATGCTAAGAAACTAAAAGTACACCAAAACCTGACTGAAATGAAAGCTCACCACTCAAACTAAAAGCTAAAATAAGCCTTGAATAATACAAAAAAAAAAAACCTTCTGTGTATCTGTTCTTTTCTATAATTTTTTCAAATTTTATACCTTTTAAATTAAAATGTGAATTAGTTCTTGCTTTAGACAAGCTTTGCCTAATTGTAAAATGTAAAATATCACTACAAATGGGTTCTTTTGTCTGAAGGCAGGTACACTCAGATTCACACTGATCAAAAGCAGCAATAAAAGAGGCAAAAATCAAGACAAATACCAACTCAATGTCTAAGAAATATTTTTTAAACTTCTGATTTAATTAGGAAATTGCCAAAGATAGCACAGATATCTCACGTATCCCTCACACAATTTCTCCCAGTGGATACATCTATTAGTACTACTACATCAAAACCAAGAAGCATAATGTACAGTTCTATGCCACTTACCTGTTGTTTTGAGTAACCACAATCACAAATATCTCCCACATATTTTCTCCCTGTCCCCTGTCTCCTCTCTCTCTGTGCACACAGAGGTCAGAGGATAATTTGCAGACTTCAGTTCTTTTCTTTCACCATGTGGGTCCCAGAGCTCAAACTGAGGTCATCAGGCTTGGCAGTAGGTGTCTTTACCTGCTGAGCCATCCTACTACCCTCATACTATCTCTTATAGTCACACATACTTGCTTTCCCCCACCATGTAGTGCCAGCATACTGGCTAGAATATGAACAATAAAGAAAACATAAGAGCAGTTTCAAGGACAAGGTGGAACTTAAAGCAATACAATTACTAAGGTAAATCAGAGATTTCATGAAAAGGATTCTATCTGAATTAGGAATTGAAGACTGGGAAAAACTTAAAGCAAGAGGAAGACGGCACTTCAGACAGAGGAAACAGACAAGAAAATGCACAGAGTCAAGAAAGCATGAAGTATGTAAGAGTCCAAGGTACTATCTGGCAACACAGGTAAAGAGTAGCAAGAAGAAAGAACAGGGCAGAAAAGGCCATGGAGAACCTGTAGAACCAAGCAGGATCTATTTTTCAACTTGAGTTCCAATGACTTTAAACTTAAGTCCCACTAGTCTGGGTGGCCTTGAAGAAGGAAGTTTAAAATATAATACTGATGGGGCTGGAGAGATGGTTCAGCAGTTAAGAGTACTGGCTGCTCTTGTAGAAGACCCAAGTTCAATTCCTAGCTCCCACATGGCAGCTACCAACTATCCATAACTCCAGTTCCAGGGGATCTGGCACTCTTTTCTGACCTCTGAGGACACGGGTGCACTTACATGCAGGCATAACTCTCATATACATAAAATTTAAAAATTAAGCCAGGCGTGGTGGCGCACGCCTTTAATCCCAGCACTTGGGAGGCAGAGACAGGTGGATCTCTGTGAGTTCAAGGGCAGCCTGGTCTACATAGTGAGTTCCAGGCCAGCTGGGGCTACAGGGAGACCCTGTGTCAAAAAAAAAAAAAATTAAAAATTAAAAAAAATACTGATATGCAGTCATCAAAAGGAATGAAGCACTGCACATGATGTTACATGGATACGCTTTAAAAACATGTAAGTTGGGGCTGGAAAGATGGCTCAGCGCTTAAGAGCACTGAATGCTCTTGCAAGAGGACCCAGGTTCGATTCCCAGTACCCACATGGTGGCTACATACCATCCTTAACTCCAGTTCCATGGGAATCCAAAGCCCTCTTCTGACCTCCGTGGCATTGCATGACACGGGTACATTCACATACATGCAGGCAATATACTCATACATAAAATAAAAACAAATATTTTTTTAAAAGTTGTTGGTGTCAGTTTTTCCTGCTGCCTCTGCAATTTTTACCTGCTGAATCATCTTGCTAGTCCACCACATCTTACATTCTCTACTGTTCCTGTTGATCTTTTTAGATGGATTCTCACAAAAGTCTTATATTACATGTTTAGCACTGGGTACCAGCTACTCTCACTTTCTCTTAATCTGTTTCATTTTGCTAGTCTATTTAATCCTCACTTTCACAAAAAGATTCTCATTTTCTGGGTTCCATGTAGCCTCCCTTCGTCTCTTACTAGCTTTCAGAGCTATCTGGTTTTGTCTGTTTGTCTGTTTGTTGCTTGTTGCTGGTACTAGGAATTAAATTCAGGGCCTCATTCAGGCCAGACAAATGATCTACTGCTAAACTACATCTCCAGTACTACTTACAGTATTTTTACTTAAAATATGCAAGAAAGATACCAAATAATTATGTTATCTTTCAAATTTGTTTGCAGGTGAGAGGTATGGATGGATGGCTAGATAGACAGGTAATATTCACAAACACAAACCATCTCTTGCCTAATTTATACCTAGTCAGATAGACACCAATCTAGACTTAATGCATCTGGTCAAAGTCTGCAATGCTAGGCTGGGCATATTGGCCTTCACCTACAGCTTAGCTACTGGACAAAAAGACTGCTTTAGCCCAGGAATGGAAGGCCAATCTGGGAATAACAAACCATGTAAGACGAAAAAACAACAGCAACAACAACAACCAAAAAAATTCAAAACTTGCCTGGCTTCAGATTCTATTAGAAACAGCCTCATAAGTATTTTTTTTCAAAACCAAACTTTTCTTAACATCACATATGGTCTTATTTCCAATGCAAATGTCACTCAGATTCTTTCCTACAACCAATATTTATCAGAAATGAAAATTCTATGAGAATAAGAATGATGTCTCATACATCTGTGTTCAAGAGCCGGAATGCTGACACTCGCAAACACTGGATATATGTTTGCTGAGCAACTCCCTAGAATGCCATGTACTCTTTGTATTACATATTTTCTACTTGAAATTATACTTTATCCATATTTGTATAATTTTAATTAGTTTTCAAGACTTTTTCTTTCTTTTCTTTTTCTTTTGAACAAAGTCTCTAGCCTAGTCAGGTTTAAAACTGGGTATGTAAATAAGGATGACCTTGAACTTCTGATTCTCCTGCTTTCCACCTCCTAAGTGCTAGGATTTCAGACATGTGCCACCACACAGTCCTGAGGATTGAACCCCAGGCCTAGCACTAGTCAAGCACTTTAACAACTAAGTAGTATCCCCAACCCCTCCAGACTTCTCTTGAACTTCCTCATCTATTTCCCCTTAACACTTTCCTTATCTTGGGCCTTATTTCTCCTTTACTTTTCAGTAATACTGGCTTCTGTGGGATTTGGAATCCATCTAAAGTAAGTTAATTTGCCTTACTTTTGCCATATTAAGGTCTTAAAATGTGTTTATTACCTGTATTACTTACTTTTCTCATTGCTGTGACAAAATACCTTACAGAAACAACTTAAAGGAGTCTATAGTCATATGGCCCTGAATGTGACAGATCTTATCTCATCTTGGAAGCCAAGCAGTGGGGCCTGGTTAGTACTTAGATGGGAGAAGCAAACTAAGACAGTAAACTTTTATTTTGGCTTATAGTTTCAAGAGGGTACAGTCCCTCACTTGCCCCAAGTACATGGGCAGAATATCACAGCAGCAGGAGTGTATAGAAGAGAGCTACTCACTCCTCTGAGGTATCTTGTCCCTGGCCCCTTGTCTTTGCTCTCTGAAATACTTCTAAGGTCCCACCCCCAGGGACCTATTTCCTCCCCCAGGTACCTACCTACTTCTTCCAGCAAGGCCCTATCTCCTCATGTTTCCAGAATCCCCCAAAATTAGTGCCACCAGCTGGGACTAACCCCTACACATAAGTCCTGGGCACATCTCATGTCCAAACAATAGCTGTCCTTCCCAAGACTTCTTTGCCAAAACACATGTTCTTGATATCTTTTCAGCAAGACTGATCAACTTCTTAGCATACTTCTGATACTTCTGGCTCATCTTTAGCTACTTCAAATTCCCTCTAATCTTCTATCCTCTGATACTTAAAACTTCGTATATACTTTCCCACAAGTGCTTTCTGAAGTTCTTTTAATGCTTTTCCCATACCCTGTGGTTTTTCTAAATTAGTTTTGGCAGTTGTTACCAGCTCAGTTGTTCTGCTACTTTTTTCATCTGGGGACCCTGAAAATGGCTCAGCGGTGTCAGTTTCACTTTCCTAATGGCCTGTTCTAGGCCAATTACAAACTATGGCCAATTATTCCAAAGGTTATATATACTTAGCTCATCACAAGATTCCATCATTCCTGTCTCCTTTGTCTCCACACCAAAGCCTATCTCTTTCCTCTTTCTCCTCCTCCTTTCTTCTCTTTCCCTCTCCACTTTTTAAAAAACTGGACCTTATACTTCAGATGATTTCTACATACAATTCTATCTTCTTTAATATTAGTAAGTCTAGATGATGCTCAGAAACCACCCGGGCAGTTAAAAAAAAAATACATATTTTGGGCCAAAGAAATTGGCCAAACTTAAGAGCC